ATGGGTGCCTATGGTGTTGGAGAATCTGGTGAGCAGAACATTGCCTGTAGAGGAAGGCACACTCCCCCATTCATATCAAAATAATTCTTCCTCCAATTATGTGATAAATATACAGGAATAATTGTATATGTTGTGTATTCTTAATGATCTTCCTTCATATGGTGAGCTGTCTTTTAATAATGGGAGCAATCTGCTTTTGTGTCTCCGGAATACTTGGGTAATTTCTTTAACTGGAGAATGCTATAGAAATTGAGCAAATAAAAAGAAAACACCTTACAAGAGAGGATGATGGAGGGACCGTGCCATCTTTGTGGCACCACTGAAATAATCAAGGACTATGTTTGCAAATTTTCCTCAGGCAGAAGGGTTGCAAGAAAGGTACCTAAAATCTAACAAATGAAGGGTTGACTTCTGCCACATCAAGGACTGAAGCTAGTTAGATGTGTTTTTGCTGGCGGGTGTAGTTGTAGCAATAATCACATCATTTCAGATAATTTTTTGTGAAGCTTCTGGTCTTGCTGAACATAGCTTGTTCACCTGTAAGTTAGTGATTTACTTCATAGTGAGCGATGCTAAAACTTGGCATTCTCTTAAATTACTTTGCTCTACTCTCCATTGCATTCACCTGCTTCTGATAATTTTTTTTCTCCTTTTTTTTTTTAATAAAGTAGTGTAGTGTAGTTTTTTGTATTGGTTCATAAGAGGCTGTGCAAACTAATCAGAGCTACTTAACTGTGCATTAGCCAGAAAACCGTTTTCTTTCTTTTAGACAGGTAGCAAGTAGGGTAAATGAAGGACTCTGTTTTAAACTGAGGCTGACAACTGCCTCATTTTCACATGCTAGTGCAGTCACACTTCCCATGGTCATGCTTCCCAGCCATGGATCCCATGGCTTAAGCTGGACTTCAGTGAGAGATCATGAGAAAACTGAAGTTGGTAGAAGTAACTTTAATTAGACAAGATGTTCAGGGGTGAAAGAGCGGATCAAATATTCTAGCCTTGCATTTCCTCTCTTCATCTTCCAGTTATCTAAATTTTTTCCTTTCTAAATAAAAACAAAAAACACCAAACTCTCTGTACTTTCTCTGACATAATGAGACACATTATCAAAAATAAGTATATTATAAACATATGTTCAGAATTGAATACTTAGTGGGGTTACTTTGCTCAAAACATTGTTTGTGATGCTAAATGACTGGCCCTTGGAGTGGAATTAAATTGCCGTAGTTCAACCAGACACCAAAGTGCTTTCAGATTTGTTTGACATAAATTCCGTTTGAACTACCAACTGTGGAATAGATCCAAGAAATTGTATTTATTACTGTTCCGATTTCTAGATGAATAGTCTGGAAAAACTTTTTCGTGTGTGTAGCTTAGTTTTAGTGTAAATTCTTTGTGTTGCTGGAAGAAGAAGCCCTTAAGAAAGATTAAAAAAAGAAATTGTGCCTCAGGAGGAAATATGAAGAAATATAGTTTGTTTTTTTTAGCCAAGTTACCACCAAGGTATTTTCAAAATATCACTGCAACTGTACTGACATTACCTGTATATGCTAATGGTGATCTGCTTCAGTCTAGTTCCTGATATTCCTAATCCATGACTTCAGATGTTAAACTTGTAACAGTATTAGATTTACTAATCTTTAGTTGCCCTGATGTTACTTCTTTCTTATTCTTGCCACCAAAACGTTAATCTTCTAATCTTCTAACTCTGGCATAAAATTGGATGTTGTGGCAATGTTCCCTTAGAACCTGTTGAGTTTGACCTGATTTTGTTTTATTTTAAATTTCCTATCCATTATTGCAATTACTTTTCACTTCTTCTGTGGAATGTTTAGTAAAAGAAACACTGACATTATATATGTGTATGTTTGGCAATGGTAGACACTTAATTAAAACCTGGTCTAGTAAATTCTGCTGGTTTTAAGCTAAATTAGACATAAGAGTATTTTGCCTGGTAACTTAAAAAACCCCCAAACACCACCTCCACCTCCAGCCCCCCTCCAAACCCACCATAAACCAACCACCCACCCCTGCTTTTGTCCTGCCTAAATGTCAGCAGTCTTTTGGGCACTTTAAGCATAAGTATGCATTGACATCCTGTGTAGTCAATGGTGTATGCATGTGTGTCTGGTACGAGAACATAAGTGACTGTCTGAAGCAGAATTTATTTTTATAATTATTGATTAGGCAGAGAATAAATGTATCTTTTGCATATCTGTGTATTCTGTTAATGTCAATGTTTTGGTTCTATTTTTTTTGTGTGTGTGACAGATATGGATAACCCCTGAAAGGGCACTTTTGTATATATGTTTTGATACGTAGCTACTGTTTAAGGGCAAGCAGTATTGTTGAGCGTTGTTTCGGTGTTGCTGATAATACTTAGGGGAGACGATGAAGGCTGGCACATCTGTGAGCTTCCTTAGGACTTTTGCTGCCATGTAGCTCACTGAAAGCTTTGTGTACAGCAGCAAACCACCAAATTTAAAGTTCAGATTAAAATATGTTAGAATATAAATAATAATATATA